TGAGAGTTTTCAATATTGAAATTGATCATCTGAGTTTGCAATATATTGTAATCAATAATCTTTGAAAATAACAGATTGATTTCCATCGCTTTTTGATATTACACGAAATATGACTGTCGATTCAATCGACTAACATGTATATCGATTACTGGAATAAGATAGCATCGATTTGTTAAGTCCTGCGTACTACAGTGGACAGCCATCCTCGACTACTGATATGAAAAACTGTCGATAAATGAACTGAAACAATCAGCAAGCCAGGTAAGGCTTGTTTCTGATGGTAAGCTGAGTTGCATTGACCTCAATTAGAGGCGAAATGTCTACGGGCGACACGGTCACAAAGCAAAAACACCAGATACAAAACCAGGAACCATACAGTCAAACCTACCTGTCACTTTCCGAACTTTCCTTCGACAAGACATTTTGCTTCCCATTGCCATGTTCTGGTGTATTTTCTGTCTTTTCCATCGACATAAACTTCACAGTATGCTATGGTTTCCAAATGAATGATAATTCTCTGTATTTGCTTACTTCGAGTGTGCACAATTACTCTCAGCAGTGTTTAGTCGTTTTCGATTTAACAGTTCTTAGGTAAGACATTTTTCTATACTTCTGCAAAAGAGACAGAGGACTGCTATTGTTTCTTCCTCCAACTGAGCGCAATGAACTTAAGCCCATGTGTTTGAACTCGAGGGAGGTCATTTTCCACGACGAGACTAGTGGTCAGCGGCGCGCTTCGAATGAGTATTCCGTATTCGTCAAGCCTGACTAGTACCATTCTTACAGTGGATTCGCATCAAAAAAGTAACCCTACTTTTGCTTGTCGCAACATGCTATCGCATCAGCTAAGCAAATCTCGTTTTCTATTTAGCAAATAAAAACTATTTAATTTTACGTTTACTTACATACCTTGAAATGTTTTCATAGACTTCACACCGAATTGATGGCTTTTTTGGTGGATATGGGGCGCGCATTTTATATAAGTTCTGTTACTAAAATTATTTTAAGCACAGCGGCAAACCGATTTATTCCCCTGTTACCTCATGGCTCGCTGGTTTTTTTCTCACGAATTCTTAGACTATATTTGTTGGAGCTACGTGAACGAAGAGCCCGTAACTAGGCTAAGAGCTCATAACATGGCTCCGTTCAGCCAATTAGAAATGTAGAAATTCAATACGATTTATTAACTGAGTTGAAAGGTGATGTTTCGAACGCTAGGCCTTCGTCAGGGTGAATACGAAGGGCTGACTTCGGAACTTTTCAGAGCTTTATCCAAAACCCTCACTCTTGTTCTTGAACACTTAAAGCGTTCTTCATCCTCATTCTTGATGTTAATGAGGCCTTCTTTTTCGGAATGAATTCTCGTAGTTCGATGTAAGAGCTGCTGTTTCACGGTTTATATTCCGCAAGATGGATGTCAAGTGATATTACCTTCTAAAATCTCCAGTTGTGTCTCCTTTGATTAAAATTCTGAAGCCTCTCTTGAATGGTTTCCATGAAAATGTCAAATTATTCAAGATTTTGAATACTTCAGTGTGGAAAAAGTCATCTTGAAGCTGGACTGAACCATCCTTATTTTCTCTCAACATCTCACATGAGAGAATCATCTTGACTTTCATCTGACAGTTGTCTCTGACGAGCCTCAAGACTAAAGGTTTGGCTCTTTGCATCGGTGCAAAACCTTCAACACTCCCAATTCTGAGTTGTCTCGCAAAATCCCTCGATGCACTGGCTAACTCACAAAACTGATGAGTTTTGTATTTTTCAACGAAATCATTCCATTCCTGAGGCTGATCCAGGATTTCAAAAATGGGAGGTTCGAAGAAATGGGCCGCCAAAGGCAGACTCATCTGGGGGGGGGGGGACATGTTCCCCCGGGAAATTTTGAAATTCAAGTCCTCGGAAATGCGATTTCCAGCGTTTTGAGGGATGATGGTGGACGGTTTAATACCTTAACAAAACATCTCTTTTTAAAGCTAATTTGTTAAACGAGGACTACGTTTAAGTCTTCACAATAATTGAGATCAACTGACTCTTAGAAAATGAAACTTAAATCACTGTAATTTATTTGTCTTCGCTATTTAATGTGTTCTTAAAAGTCACGCTTATTAAGATTCCTCAAACATTGGATCAACGAGTAACTTTCTACGAGGTTGTTGTTCGGCAAATTTCTGAACATCGTAATCGACAGGCTTTTCAAAATGAATACTCACTGTAGGTAGCCCTTGACCAGTTTTAAAGTGCTGTTTGAGTGCTCGTTATCAGCTGATTTGACTGGAATTGTACATGCAATTCGCAACAACAGGTGGATGTTCGGAAAGATGTCGGGATCACAAGCCTGTAGATAGACAGAAAATATAACCAAAAAAGCTGTCATTTGTTAACCTAAGGAAAATTTTAATATAAACAAATTGAGTTACTTCGAACCTGTAAGGCAGTTTGAAGCGCGTCTTTTTTGTTCGTCTCGGATTGCCATTTTCTCATCCAACGATCATATTCAATGTCGAGAGTCTGTGGGCTTCGGAGATCTGACATATTCATCTCGAGAACTTCAGCTATGTCTACGTTTGTGTCCGCTACAATGGCGCTCAGCACAAGACCAAGCAATTGCACTGCAGTCTTCTGAGTGGACCCAAATCTGAAAAAAAGAACCCTGTGATGAATAAGCCTGTTTGAACAATCATTTATTATATCTGTAAATATTTAACGTCATGTAAACAGCCGAGCGGTTGATAATTTATATAGATTACCTTTAAGACATTTCTTGTGTGATATGGTCAAGGAATGGAATGAACAGATTGCGGCGGTAGTATTCCTCAGATGTGTCATGGGGTGCATTTGCCCCATACTTGTCTTTGCGCCGTTCTTGGAGCGCTTGGTTCCGTGCCCAGCTCTGAACTGATCTCCGCAGCATATGCGTACCATCTTTGGAAGACAAAATCATTCTTGTCTCGCAATTCTTTCAACTCCTTCTCCGTCTCCATATTGTAGGCGGTAACAATCTCATTACTGAGACCTTTTTTTATAGCTTTACGCTAATCAGCTTTATGACCGCCAGAATTTTCATCGTGACCGTCAAGGACATGGTGTTGCTGTTCACCTAAAATGACCTCAAACGTTTTAACAACTGAAAGTAACTGGACAAAAGTTTCATACGCCTCATGACGCTCCACCCAACGAGTACGGCAAAGGTCGCGAATCTTGGTTCTTTGAGACTCTAGCTGATCCAGGCTTATCACTTTTTCCAAGCACCTCTGCCGCTCAGGGGAATGATTAAAAATGTTTGCGCAATCTGTAATTGTGCCAGCCATGTTGCGAACTAATGGCAAGCTGCATGCCTTTACGATAACGAGATTAAGGACAAGCGAATTGCAGTATGCGTACAAGGCTTTGGGGTTTTTCTGGGAAATTAAGCCTTGTGCGCCTATAGCTTCAGCTACCGCCAGCTGAAGAATGACGTTATATCACCACGTTCATTGCGCCTCGTGCTTGTTACAGATTTAAGAGACCTCCTTTCGGTCTCAGCGACGCGAGCGAACCCTTTCAGTGGATGATGGACGAAATTTTTTTGGCGTCCAGGATGTTCACATTTCAGTCGGTGACGTAATCATTCATAGCAAGACCGATCTTCAGTCGTTTCTTGGAACTTGTGGCTTTGTTTCTAAGTTTATTCCAAACTATGCGAACAAAGCAGAACCACTTCGAAAGCTTACTCGAAAAGAGCAGAGGTCCTCATGGCAAGTAAAGGCATTCAAAGCCTTGAAAGAGGCATTGCTGGCTCACCTGCCTTGGCTTGTTTTCTGTAACGGGACACCCTGTGAAAGAAATATTTATGACATTTACGCGATTTTGTGACAATTTTGAATTTCGTGATCATGTTCCGTCTAAAAGTCCATCGGCTATCGTCTGCCGTCTATCGTCTACCGTTTACCGTCTTTGTGTTTTAGTTCATGCCGTTTCGGAAAAAGGAAAACTTGTGGAAATCGTGTGGAATAAACGCGTTCGTGTGTCTCCATACTACGCGCGAAGCAACAGAAAATTAGAGATTTCGCCGATTCTAAAAGAAAAACTTTTGCGCAGCCGTAAGCGAAGGTAAATCCTGGCAAACGGAGTTGCCTAAAATTATCATGCTCTACAGAGCAAGTCCGCTTCAAATTTGTTCAATTGCGCCTTCGAACTAAGCTATCGCGCATCAAATTCGATTCAAACACGGCATTATCGGCATTCGACCGTGAGGATCGGTCAAAATGCAATTTGTATCAAGCGCATTTGAAGAACTATCACGATAGCTGGCAAAATGCAGAAACGCCTAATTTCAAGATTGGCGATTTCATATTTTGTGCCAACATGAAGACAAACAAACCAGATTCACATTTCTCTGCAGCCAAACACGTAATCATTGAGACCAAAGAGACACTTTTAGTTTAGTCAATGTGGACACGGGCACCACTTTGATACGCAATGCGAAGTTCCTTAAACACGTGCCCAGTAAGAATGTTGGTAATGACATTAATGTAGACACTAGAGCTAAGACTGAGGAGTATAATGACTCTTCCACGAAAATTTCTGACGTTTTCAAAAGTACAGAACTCCCTGGCAGGATTGTGGAGCAAGCCTCTCAGAGTAAACAGGTTATCACCACAAGGTCAAGAAGAGTACTTAAATCAAAGAGGGATTGTGACAATTTTGTTTACTATTGAAGTAACCATAGTTTGATTTCGTAGCTTGTGATTGCATTAACTATATTCCTTATGATTCTTTAAACATTTCCCAAGATGTGATATCACTGTGGGACTACTGGATGATGTAAAAAGTACTTTAATGAAGTAACATTATTGTACCAGCTCATTTGATAGTTGGATCGATCAATGAAGACAGAATATAGAAAGCAAATAAAGATTGTGTGTCTCCACTACATGAATACACCACATCCTACATCGCTGATTCTCGAAAATGGAATTGTGATGAAATAACAAAATATTTATAATTAACAGGCAAAATTAAAAGAAGCATAGTTTAATCATTACTGGATCCTAAAGGATAGACCAATAGAGGAACAGTACTGGTCTTAAGCAAGCCCACATAAATCATCACTACTGTTACTATTGTTATCACCATTATCATCATTATTATTGTTATTATAAGATTTTGTTATCATTGAATTATTGGTTGAGTGACAATTATTCATTACATTCTGGAATCATCTTTCTGTTGTGGAACAACTTACTCAAAAATATGTGGGATGCAGTGGGTTTTTTGTTTTGCAGGTGAGACAAATCTGCTCTATCACTTCCCTCTAGCGTCATTGTACAATCTTTAGTTCTTTTCAATGCTATAGAAATATGCCATATTAGTAGCCGTATATAGTCTTCACATTATGGCATGTAAATTGTATTTGTTATATTTAAGCTTAGCTAGTTATAATCGACTCAATAAGCATAGTATTTACATTAACTGGATATATATATATAATTTAGAATAATATATACATAATATATAGAATATGCATAGAGTGATATATAGAATAAAATAAAGAAAATACCCTACACCGATAAATTCCAAATTTTTACCGTTAAATTGGTCATTATTATATCCATTAAATCCTGTAGTATATATGTTGTAAACAATTTAGGCCGTTGGGCACCTCACTCACTTACATTAACTGGTGGAGGTCTGGCTCTACTCAATCGTTGAAGACGCTCTTTCTATTTTTTTAACACGCTTTTTAGCTACACTAAGACAATGCAGAAGCTAGTGATGCTTTGAGCTACATATTTTGATTAACTGCTGAATATGAACGCACTTAGGAAGCTGCTTATCGTTTCCTCCCCTGTATTTTCATTTGTTCTATTAAATTCGATTCATTTGTTCAAAAGTAGACTTCAGGGAGATGATGTAGAAGTGGCGGGATTTACTTCGCAGAAACAACGTGCATTTTAACATTGGCTTGCCATGGCTGCACATGGGGCCACCTCAGACAGTTTAACTACCTTTCGTCTTCGTTACGTGGTCGCATGATACGCTTGAGATAAATAACGGTGATTGAACTGAGTGGAGTGCAATTTGGACTAAAACAATATACATGATTTAAAAATCGATCGAGCGCGCAGCAAGAGTTCGATTTGAAATCACAAATGTGATTTCAACCAAAATTGCACAACACGAACTTCAGTTACTACTTTATTACATACATTTTGAAATCGGAAAATTTGATTCACAATTATATTCATTCCTTTCTACTGAAATAGTAGGAAAAGTGTTAGAGACAAAAGCTGCAAAATTCGCCACACGATGACTTCTTCGTCTTTTATTTTCCTAACTTTGATTGGTTACTTTTAACAAGCCTTAAAATCTGATTGGTAGTAATGTTTCAGTGGAAAAAGATGCGATTTATAGCAAGAAATAGAGCAATTCGTAAATAAATCGCAATGCTGAGAACCAATCAGATATCAGCCGGATCATCAGTGATTTCAAAATGAATGTTATATGGCATTCCATGAATCAAAATTAATGCTATAGGGAATTTTTTGTCTTACAGAGAGCAGAATTTTAGACTCTCGTGCCCTCCATTTTGGTGCTTCTTTGAATACAAACATTCCCATTCTCAGAGACTGAAGACGAACTGTGAGAAAGAGACTCCGCTTTCGTCATGTGGAACGAAGTATGGGTTGACTGAACACAGTTGAGACGCTCGGATGATCCACGGCCTGTACAACAAGACGGACGAAGCAATAGTTTCCTGAAGGCGCGGCGATAGGTGCGGTTCAAACAGGTGTAAATGATTGGGTTCAAGAACGAGTTAAGGTATTCCAACCATTTGATTGCCTTGTAAGCTTCGATGTTAACTTTATAATCAGGCTTTAGAGCATACAAAGTAATTATTGCGAAGAAGGGCATCCAGCACACAACAAACGCTCCAATGACAATCGCTATCGTCTTGGTTGCTTTGATATCCCTGGCGTAGTTTCGACCAATGCGGAGCGCTTGATTTCTTGCCACAAAGTATATTTTCATGTACATGACGAACATAAGAAACAGAGGGACAATGAAACTCACCACCACGAGACCAATTTGATATGCAGAACGCATTTTCGCCATTTTGACCGAAGGGACATGCAGACCGCAGAGCAAGATAGAGAATACCCACAACGCAACTATCATGATAATAGCTCTTAGCGAAGTCAGCGATTCGCTATACGAAAATGGCGCAGTTATAGCTAGGTGACGATCAAAGCTTACAGCCACAAGATTCATAATGGACGCTGACCCAACAAGGATGTCAATACTTGCCCAGAAACTATACAACTCTCCTGAGAAAACGCTTCTGGATTTTTCATCCATATCAGTTAATTGCAACACAAGCCAGAAAGGCATCGCCAATAGCGCCACTAGGATATCTGCTGCACTTAAACTGATGATAAAGTAATTGCAAATTGTTCTGAGATCACGATAATAGTAAAAGCAGGCGCACACCATGGTATTTCCCACTAATGTCAACAGCATCAGAAGGGCGACGAAGAATGCTGCAACGATATTTCCCTCGCTTGTGTTAAACACGAATCCTACGTCGGTTGAGTTGTTCATTGTGTCACGCTCTGAGAAGCTGAAAAAAGAAAAGATTGTGATTGATGGAAACGACAGAGACAAAAATGGTAAAGACCGCACAAAGCGGGGCAGTAAAAAGATATATTTGAAATATGGTCTTTTTACAAAGTCTACAAATTTGCATGAGTGTTCCTCTCTGGTTCTTACATTTAAGTCACAAAAAATGTAATAAAAAAGATAGCAATAACACTTTTTTACCGCAACGACGTCAAAACCCCCTGCTAGCATTGTTAATGAGGGAAGCATATTTCATTAACTGTGTTCAACAAACGCGCCTTATGTATTCCGCTAAATTTATTACAAGTAAGACACCAATCTTCGTCTTGTTAGGGTACATTTGATTCATGAAACTCACTAAAGAGAATATAAATTACCTGATTTTAAAAGGATGAGTAATTTCGTGTGTTTAAAAATTCGTGTGTCTTTTGCCAATACCAAATCTTCAACATTTACTCACCGAAAAGAAAACAAACATGTAAGAATGTAAACTTTACTTGCATGAACAGTCGTTCACGTAACGCGACCGCTCAACCTTTTGGCAATGAACTTTTGTTAAAATTCTGCCACACCGCAAATGACAAAATCTGTGAGAAGTCAAAAGACTGAAGTTGTCACGGTTACTATTTTGATCGCGCAGAGAAGATATCCATCGTATTGAAACTCTGTTCGGTCACATAAATAACTCATTTGATGACTAGTTAGAGAAGCGAGGTTTCCCTAAGCTAACTTATCAAAAATCTATGTACCGTAAACGGGTTGTTGCGAATAACTTGAGTGATACTCTATTGGTAAAACTATAACAAGTAAAGTAATTTTATCTCAGCGGCAAAACATTCACTGCATTCGTAACAGACAGATGTTTGCGATTCTAAATAAATACAAGCAAAATACCTTCACTGAACAGAATTTCATGCTCCCGTCGTTACTGCCTCTCTTTGAAAGAGCGACATGGGTTGCCTAACAAGTTGAGAACGTTTAGGCTTTCGAAACAGCGACTTCACTGCGTCAAAAATTCCACACGAATTTATTTCATTTGCGCGCGGGCGGTGTGGGTAATTCATTCGAAGAGTTTTGTTTCGAATTGGCGATCAGCGCATACATTAATCTGGACTTAAAATGAAAGACAGCAGATTATTAAAGGCTTATCAAAACAGCGCGTGTTGTCAGCGAACATAGTGGTTTTCGTTCCTGAGAAGATTTCACGTGTTCGCATTTTATTCAGTAAATGCACAGATATGGGGTAAAAATTGGAGAAACAACGCTGAAACAAGTTTGACAGGGTTTGAAGAAAATGACTCTTAGACATCGTAAATTGGTTCCGGTGTTTTTGTTCGGAATCCCTAAAAAGACTCATAATTATTAGGTTTCCTCGAATTAGTCAGAGCGGCAAAGTTATTCAACTGCAAAGAGCACATTTATGTTAGAAGCATTAGTGGAGTATATATCTTAGTCTCGTGTAGGGTTGCTTTTCCTGTCATGTTCCGACTATTTTTTTTGTCGATTACCATCAAGTCCCTTGTTCAAATAAAACATCGCTAAGAATTCGATCTGTCAATGTTTACAATATTAAATTAGTCGCTTTTATGAATTATGGAAATTCTCTTCAACCGGAGGTTTTTCCAGTAAGTTTAGTCGATCATTTTGCAAATAACCATTTTCTTGCCGACTTGCACAACAGGGGGATTATCCAGGACTCTACCTTTTCGTAACAAAGATTAGCGAAAGCTTTAGAAAATGGATAATAATGTTTGACAATATCACATCTCTACCAGGGTGTAAGCCGCAAAATGCTGCTCTTTTAAGTATTAATTTGATCACAATAGCTTCTTTTTGTAACCATAGTGTTTCGAGATTGCCTTATTAGACCAATTCAGCAGGAGTTTGTAAAATTAGCGAGAAGTGGCTGAATTAGCTACACCCAATAAAAACGTGCAGCCATAATTAAGAATAGAAATTGCTTCAGGATATGGAAATACAATTTGTAATATTCTGAGGAGGTAAAATACCGATTGAATATAAAAACTCTTAGAGGAATCGAAAAATTGTTTTACGAGTATCAGAAAGGGACATCCCATGTTTAAAGATTCTGTGGTACAAATCTGTAAGTAAGATTATGTCAGCAATGGTTAAAACTGAGACTAGATGCAGAAAATAGTTACTTTAAACCCCAAAAGCTATGGAAATTACGATAGTGAATGACTTAAATTTGGTGAATAAAGAATCAAAAAAGGAAGAGGAAATTAATTAGAAAAAAGAAGTCAAAACAAAAGTGTAAACATGCTTTGAATTCTATTTTCCTTTAATATATTCGACTACGAAATTGAAAGTTGCCCTTCTTTCCTCCGTCACTTAAGTTATGCAGCCACCTGCCAATTGTTTTCTTAGAGTAGGCAAATTTACATTAGCATTTATGGACAGGCTCCTTTCGAAATTGTTTTTTTCTCACCTTTTGTTTTGCGTTCGATCTCAGTGCTCTAAACACCGATTTAGAGTCAAAACAGAACTTTGGTCTCTTGTCACCACGTATGGATTTGAATGGTTTTTCTTTCCTTGGATGAAATCAGTCACCGACATAAAGTCACCTTGGTAAAGTTTTTTTCATGAGAAAGCGTCTTTGACGCACACATTATACCTCATTATTTTCTTTTGGTACATGGTAGAACAGTAGAAATGTTTTAATGCAATTCACACTTTCTAGTAACTGAATTGATCGTTTTTAGCAAAATGAATTTGATTTTCTTCAGTTCCGTGGCTTATTAACGATTCAATCGATTATCCTATGGGAAGGGTAACAATTACAGTATGGAGAAGATTATTTCAAAAGTAGAAAACAGTTAATTGACCTATTGGTTTAGTGCCATATTAGGCAAGCATTTTTCATTTTTGATTAACCTATATTCCATTACCCTAAACGGTGCCTTCTCTGAGAAATTAAAACTTTCCAGTGAATGTCAAAATTCCTCTCCTTAGTATATCACTAGATCGATGTGTAACAATAAAGCATGTGAGATTTGTCAAGAGGAAAGAGTATTATGCAGCCTGCCCAAAGTAAATCAGTTGGAGCTGTTGATATAAAAAAGAGATAATTTTGATCTTCACTGAAGTTTTATGACGGGGAAATTTCTCCCACTACAAAATATTAACCCTCATCGAATGTATTCGGGGAATAAATTTGCCCGTTAGCCATGGCAAAATCTTTAAACGCACATCTCCTCATCTGGATTTTCAGAAAGTTCGTTTTGTACTTAGCCGACAAGAGCTTAAACAGAATAATTAATGCCATTGTTAAAATGCAAATATACACCAACTGCTGAATACAAACCAAAAAGGTTGAAGCAAACACGAAGACTGTCAAATCTCTAAGCCCATAAGCTATACGCGAAAAAAAGACGAAGACAAAGTTACAAAAAAATTAGTAGAATTCGAATGCTAAAAAGCAGCTTCATTTTCCCTAGAAGAACGTGCAGAAAAGGTTTTCGTCTTTTCAGAGGAAAAGCTTACGATGATACGTTCGTCTTAGTTACGAACGAATATAATTATCTAAAAAAGGTACCTTATCTGATTTGGAAAGGAAATCTAAAAATATGTTGAGCTTTAAGTTCCTTCTTGTATTTCAAAACCATGTATGATTGCCTCACCTTCAGTTCTAAAAAAGGTTGATTTCATAAATCGGTCACATTTGCCCTTCTCTAAAATTCCTACAATGATTTGAAGTTCTCTGCTATTGTTTTAGCAAAATATAGTACTAGAGATTGATTTAAAGGTACGAGGTAATCACAGGCAGCTGGGAAAATATGTAAATTTGATCGCTAAGAAATTTAACCTAATTTTCGTTATCGGATGCTTATTGGTCGTGACGATGGTTTAACGTGGGGGTGCGAATTAGTTTATTTCTCAAGCCTGTACCAAATGCTCTTTATTTAAATGTTTCTTCAAAGTCTAGTAATTGTCCATGATGAATCCTCTTAGCTATTATGATTTCCGAGTTCATTTATGGTGTACCCGAGAAGTTTCGTAGACTAGATGTGTCGCCGGGTAATTTCCATGTTGTCATTCTTTACACAATAAATACCTCAAAAGTCGTCTTGACAAATGTCCGAGCGTGGCTATCACAAGCCTTGTTTACTTTTTAAAGGTCTCTGTATTTGAGTTATAATATGTACGCGCAATAAGACACAATTTTTTTTGTTTTTGACTGTTCTTGGACTGTATTCAGTCGGGATCTTGTAGCAAAGGCCAGCAATACTCACATGACAAATAATATTTCAGCAGTGATGCTTACATCCAATTATCCCCTCTAAAATCTATCGTTGATTCAGGTAATATTCAGTAACTGTAAACATTTAAGTACCTTGCACTTGATTCAAGTTTTGAAAGAAAGCCTGGAAATTCCTTGCAGCATGTTCATGGAAAGAAACAATGGATTTGTCGTCAGTGAATTCTGAGCATTGCGAAGGTGCCGCTTATGTAAAATCATAAACGAATATGAAAAAGGGAAGATAACTCGTTGATTCTTTACATATACGTTTTAATTATTTGTGATATCTAATAAGACAAAAGGAAGTTAGAATTTGGCGACAAATTAAAAAATCGAAAAAATCAATTTACCTATGATAACTCTTATTTAATATGCTAAGACGCATGACTGGCAAACCGTTTGCTGAAATAAAGAGTTTTTCTCGAGACGCGAGAGGCGTAAAATCAGGAAAGTCGACTTAGAAATAAGAATAAATAAACAAAGTGCAGAATTGAACGAAGCGCTTAATTTAACCCTTCAATTATTAACATCGATTTGCAAAGAATTCTAATTTATGAGCAAGTGGTGACAAAATAAAACTTTTAAGTAAACTCAGAGGAGGATGACGATTTCACAAGGTGTCGAAATGTTGCATTTGTTCAAATCTAATTGCATCTCTGATAACATTTGTTTGATCAAGCATTTAAAGCCGACAACCGTTTAAAAGTTTTAAGCTTTTAATGGCTACACCGATTGACCAA